AGCAACGGGGGGGAGTGATGATGGAGCCTTTTTTTTTTTTTTTTTTTTTTGCCTTGCCCATGAGCAGCCCGGTAAACAGGAGAGTTTTCCTATCCTCCAAGGAAGCCCTGCCTGATACGCGGGGTTTACGGGTGCGGTGGAACTTGCCAAGGAGCAAGGGTGAGTCCTGTCCAATAACGGGAGGATATCCACCAGCTACCCTGGCAGGGTTTTGTTTAATTTTTTTTATATCTTTTTTTTTTTTTACAGTTCGGGGTAGTTTCACTTCACTCCAGGCATCCAGGTTCCAGGCAAACAATTAGGAACGGGGGCGTTTTAGACCCCTTGTTTATTATATTTAATTTACCTAGCGGGATGAATAAGCGGGATGAAGGAGCCATATGTTTTGGGGACTGCCTGATTGGGTGTGAAAATGCCTCCAAGATTCGACCAAAGAAACCTCATACCGCCACGAGGGAACCTGTTGGTTATTTGGCGGGGTTGTCTGGAAGGAGGACGGACGCAAGAGAAGGTTTTATTATTTTTTTATTTTTTTTAATTTTTTTTATTTTTAATTTTTTTTTTATTATGGGGTATAGATAAAACAAGGCTCTCATTATGATTTCTGGGGATGTAATGTCCATTCTGGTTAACCTTTTTGTTTGGGAACTTGAGCTTTTTTACCTTTTAGTTTGTTGGCTCTGCGAAAACTTTCCACAACAACTTGCGAATTATGTCAGAGTTGAATGATGGTTTATTCGGACAGCCGGGTTGCTGGGAATTTTTCGCGCTGTTGCGATTGCTTCAGCGCCTGGCTGGGGATGGGAAGATAGGAAGGGGGCTGTGCAGGGAAGGTACACCAACACTACAACCAGCTAGCCAGGGCCAGGTGGGAGGGATGGAGGTTGAGAGGTGGGCAGCGCGTAAGTGGGAGACGATGACGGCTTTTATTTTTAAGTGGTTGGTTGGACATGTTTTCTAGGTAAAACTTGTGAAACTCAGGAGCACGGCAGATGATAGGAGAAGCAGGGTGCTGAGAAATGAAACTGCGGTCTCCTATTGGTGGCTGATGATGATAAGTGATGGTTGATGATGACGTTGATGAGGTAACTTACGAACCAGCTAGCCTCATCAACTAACCGAAGCAGCCAAAAAGTCAAACCCACCAGCCAGACACTCTGAAGAGGAGGTGGGGGAGGGGGGAAGTTACCTCAGCAAGTTGTGGAAAACCGTGAGGACTTATTCCAGCCAATTGACGGAGGGGGTGAACTTACTCTCTCCGCATGCCTTTCACTTTTTCCCACCAGCGATCCATGGATAGAGACAGCTGAGGACGAAATGGGATAGAGCAAGAGTGACAGGAGGTTCGTCAGAGAGCTTTTGCGTAACTAGTTAGTGAATGAACCAGCGAGACCACCAGAAGAAGCTGCTGATTAACTTCACCAGCAGAAGTAGCTAGGGTGATGAGCAGGCGGAATTAAAGCCTTGATGCTAAAAAGAGAATCCCTCGAGCCGGAGAAGGGAATGCCAGTATACATACATGCAGCTATAGATATCTATATATATCTATATATTTATACCAGACAATAAAATCCCAGTAGTCCAACTAGAGGTTTGGTTTTGTTTATTTTTCCCTCTGCAACCCGTAACTCTCCATGTGCCGGTCTGTTCTCCCCCGCTCCGCTCTCAGCTCTTTCACTTCGCTCGAATCTATGACATCTTCCATCTCCCGGGTCTTGTCCTGTTATCCAGGCGTGGTTCGACCCTGTCCAGCCGAGCAGGCTGAGTCAGGCCCCACGTGAGCCGCGTCCACCTCATCTTCGTCGTTTCTGTCCCGACTCCAACTTCCACTCCTCAATCATTATCTCTATCTCTCTCTATCTCTCTATCCCTCTATCTCTCCTCTATCTCTCTCCGTCTACCCCTCTCTGTCTCTCTATATCTGTGTCTCTCGCCGTCTTCACTCTCCCTCCTCTATTAATCTAACGGTGCCAGAAGTTGGTCACTTGAAAAAACGCCTTGACCGTTGCATCTGAGCTGACAACATCGATGATCTTGGCCGCAAACACTGCATTCTTATCGTTGAAGGTGAGACCCTCCATCGCCTTGCTGGGTCCAGAGAGAGGGACTTGTTGTGTCTTATTCGGACGCCGCCTGCGGAGCCCAGACTTTGCTTTGGA